GGCCGTCTCTCACCTTCGGTCATCGGTGCTCGTGGTGGGCCAGGAGGAACGGGTCTCCCCGCGCACGCATGGGCAAACCTGGGCAGAGCAATGCTGGGACGCCAGAGCTCCCAGCGCTTCCTGACTCTCCTGGGGCTGAAGCTCCGAGCTTGGGCAGCCCAGGGGTTATCTTGGGCGTGTGCATGTCCATGGGCCACCGGCAGCAGACCCAACATCCCCGTGCAGAAATGGAAGCCCCGTGGGGTCAGTAGGTGGGGAGGCTGAGGAGTGGTGCCAGCAACCTTCCCAGCAGCTGTGATTTAGCAGCGACGTCTAAGTGGGAAATAACAAAGAAATGCCTGGAAAATAAAAATGCTTTTGATGTGAATAGAAACGTTTATAATAATCTGGATATTTTTTCATGTAGATGAGGCTCAGAAGATGTATTTTGTTGAAGTGGCATGCAGCGAGCTCTAGTAGGTATAGCTATTTCAGGATAAAAGGAACAGAAGCCACTCGCTTGATGAACCTGAAAGATTTCTTAGAATTACAAAAGGAATAAACGATCTTAATCGTATTAACTCCTGGGTGGTGGCCTGAATCTTTGTGAGCAGTACGTACCACATCCCAAACAGTGAAGTTTTAAGCCTGCACAAAAGACAACTTCAGATGATCTCATGACCTCTTTTTTCAGGGGCATAAAAAAGGCACTTTGGATTTAATTTCCAATATGAGCACGTCCAGTTCAGTAAACCTTGGCACAGGAAGATGCTGCTCTCACCGGTGAAGGAGTGCCCTGCAGCACCGGCACATCCCAGCAGCCTCACCGGGCCTCTGTACACAGAGCATCCTCCCCACTGGTGTCTTGGGGAGGGTCCAGGGGCCAGCAGCCAGGTCACTCGCCTCTGCCATGCAAAGTGCTGGCCAGGAGACCCTGTCCCCTCCCTGTGCCTCCCGTGGGAACCGGCTGTGGCAGCGCTATGTAAAGCAGTTCTTGCCCAAAGCCACAGCAGCTTAGCATGGCATCTTCCAAGCAGCTGCAATCAGGACATCAACTGTTGAAGCTGCTACGCGGTCATGTTTGTAAAGAATGAAAAACAACGTCTGGATTGTACCTTTCCCTCCAGCACCATGTTTTCAAAGGCAATTGCTCAGACTGCCTTTTGATCTCGGTCAGCAGGGCCACTAAATTTTGC